TATTTCGAAATCCGGACTCCTTTATTTAAAGTAGAATTTATTGATTCATAATTTCGGCCGATAATACAATTGCGATTGTCTCAAGATTGAATGATCCAAAATCATTGAATGTTAGCTCATTGGATTCGTCTAGTCGCGGGGAATCAAATAGTAGTTGTTTCATACGAATCGGTGTGATATTGATCGAGATCATATGTCTTTTGTTTTTTTTAATTTTTTCTATATATAAAAATCATGTGATATGACATCATTTCGACCATTTCAACTTTTCACCTCTAATGGTCGAAATCATTTCGACCATTTCGACCATTTCAGATATCCGAAATGATCTATTTCGACTTCATCTATAATTTAGATTGATTGTAACTATTAAATAAAGCATTTGAATCAATAATTGTTAAAGCCATTTCTAATAATAATAAGATTGAAAGAGTCAGTAAGGATGTAAGTGATGTTGATGTAAATAACAGTAATGATAATGAAAGTGATGATGATGATAATGATAATAATAATAATGATAATGATAATGACAATGGTAATAATGATGATGATAATGGTAATGATGGTAATGATGATAATGATAATGACGATAATGACGATAATGATGATAATGATAATAATGGTGATAATGATAATGATGATAATGATGATGGTGATGATGATGGTAATGATGATGATGATAATGGTGATGATGATAATGATAAAACCTACAATTATATAAAAAATTAAAAAATTAAATAATCTTTTTAATATATACATATATACATATATTTAATTTACATATTTCAGAAATAAATAATTATTAATATATCAGAAAGTTTAATAAAGTTGGGGTCACTCCTCCAAAGAAGGGCAGCCAGAAACAGTTCCACCCAACACGTTTCTGGACTTTAAAAAAAAACTAGAGAACTATTTAATAGGACTAGTTCTTAATATATTGGAGATCTATTAAAAGAACCAATATACCGTCTACTATATAATATATCATCATTAAGCTATATATATAAATATTTTATAAAAAATATACTTGCCTTATTTGCATTTAATAATTCTTGTATAATTTTTCTTTTATAATTATCAGTTTCTTTATTGTTTAATATTTCTTTTAATGTTCTAATATAATTTCTAGTTATGGCATCTTGGTTGTCATAACCTAATATACGCATAAATTTATAAAAAGAATTATAATTCCAATCAACAATATTCGTTTCTTTAAAATAATTTTCTATGTATTTTCCAATTGCCATTTTTAATAAAAAAGTTGTAACGAAATAAAAAAAAAAGGTGTGAGAAAATTATATGTAGATCAATTTTTTTTAATTTCCAAATATATATTAAACAAATCAATCAAATTGGCTTAGTAAAATAAGGCTTTTATAGCTTATAAAAAACAGAAATAAACGATTATATAGTTTCACTTCTCTTTAATATATATTAATTTAAAAAGTTAATTAAACAGATTAATGAATTTTTTATTAGAAATTAATATAACTAAGCCATATAAATAATTTATTATAATTTATTTTGGCTTAAAATAATGGATAATATTAAAATATATATACCGTTGGCTATGTTAAATTCATATTTTATTGGCTATCTTAAATTCATATTAAACCAATTTTTTTATTTATTTTATTTAATTTTTTTTAATTTTTTTAATTTTTTTTACAAATCTTTTTTATAATGCCTATTCAAAAATGTTTTCAATGTAACCAAATTTTTTCTTCATATAAAAAATTACGATTACATCAAAAAAAACATTTAAATGATGAAAGTGAAAGTGATATTGATATTATAAGTTCAGAAAATGAATCTTTTGAAAATAAATCAATTGAAATAAACCATTTAGAATTAATTAATAAAAATAATGTAAAAATTTTTATAATCTTACAAATATTTTTTTATTATTATTAAAAAATTTATTAATATTATTTTTTTTTATAAAAAGTCTATTATAGATAATATGGTTATTGATTCTAATATTAATTTAGAAGAAACATCAAATACAATTGATTTTAATGACAATAATAATGAATTTATATCACAAGAAATATTAAATATTTCTGATATTAATGAAAATTATGAAAATGATAATGAATATAATGATGAATATGGAGGATTTCCTAATGGTTTATATCGTGATTTTATGAATTTGGTAAATTTTAAATTTTATTATATATTTTAATTTTAAAAACAAAATAATTAATAATTTATCATAATAGATTATTTGTAATAATCTTTCTAATAATATTGGAGATGAAATATTAAAACTTTTTAAGACTTATAATAGTCAAAATAATAAATTATTACCTTTGTTAACAGCTAAAGGTCGAAAATTTATAGATACAATAACAAATCCACGTTCTCTTTTTATCAGTATTCAAATTTATGAATATAATAATTTTATTTATAATTTTGATCATCGTCCAATTGTTGCTGCAATTGAAGAATTATTATCTAATATTAATTTAGTATATGAATTACATTTTGAATATGAAGAATTATATGATTATGAAATGGTAATTTATTTTAATATATTTTTAATAAACTTTAATAAATAAAATTTAATAACAAAAATTTATTTCAGGGTATTAAAGTACGTTATTATCAAGAATTATATAATAGTAATTGGTGGAAAGAGGCTCAAAAAAATTTACCATTTGGAGCAAAACTTTTATCAATTATTATATATTCTGATGCAAGCATATGTGATAATTTAGGAAGAACATCATGTCATCCTATTTATATAACACTTGGTAATCTTCCACTTTTTATTAGAAACAAACCAGAAGCAAAAGCTTTACTTGGTTATTTACCTATTATAAAAACACATAATCAAAGTGAAAAAAATTCTGATACTTATCGAAAAGCTAATCGAGAAATCTTTCATCAAGCTTGGAATCAAATAATAAGTCCTTTATTAGATCAATATAATTCTGGAATTGAATTATTAATTAATAAAAAACGAGAATTATTTGTTATAAAACTTTCACTTAGTATTGCTGATTGGCCAGAAGCAGCTAAATTATGTTTAACTTATGGATCTAGTAATACTACACGTCCTTGTCATTCTTGTATAACTATTAAAGATGATTTCAATAAAATGAATCTATCATCTGAATCAATTGAATTAAGAACATATGAAAAAATGAAAAATATAATAATAGAAGGAAAAAATCAAGAATATTCTATACATTTACAAAAAAATGTATTTTGGAATCATATGTATGTATATTAATAATTTTTTATAAATAATAAATATATATAACTAAAAGCATTTTTATTTATTTTAAAGGAATTTTAATATTTATACAGCAATTGTTCCAGAAAGAATGCATCATCTAGATCTTGGTTTATTTAAATATATGATTGAATTTACACGTCAAATTTTATTAATTTATGGTGGACAAGCTGCAATAGATAATATGGATTTTCGTTATAATAAAATTCCAAAATATTCTAAACTTAGACATTTTCCTACAGGACTTCATAACTTTAATCGTATTACAGCAGCTGATTATAGAGCATTAATGAAAATTACAGTTTTTGTATTGGAAGATTTATTTCCATCTACTAAAAAAAAACTGGAATCAGAAATTTTACAATTATTTGTAAATTGGAATAAAATGTATTTATGGAGTCGTGAAAATCGATTTAGTGAAAATGATTTAATAGCTTTTGAAGTATGATTTAATATTATAATAATTATTATTATATAATTGTTTATTTATTAATATTAAATTTTTTTTTAGGAATTTATTAATATATGGTCAACTCAATTTGTTAAAACTTTTACATTATACTCAAAATCTGAATTACATTTTCCTAAACTTCATCATTGGCGATATCATACAATTGAAGCAATTCGTGAATTTGGTATAATAAATGGTTTTACTGCAGAAACATTTGAATCTTTACATAAACAATATGTTAAAAATTTATATAGAGCTTCAAATAAACATAATATAAATTCTCAAATGCTTAAAATGGTAATTAATTTTATTAATTTTATTATTTTTATTATTATTATTTATTTATTTAATTTAATATATTTAGGTTTCACGACAACAAACTCTTCGTGAATCTTTTGATAAATTTTTTCAAAAAAAATTTCAACAAACTTCTTATAATAATAATATTACATTTCAACATGTAATTATTAATTTTCAATTAAAAAATATTAACTTAATAATTCAATCTTTTCAAAATTTAAAATCTCCAACA